GTTTGTTAAACATATATTTTTTTTCCGTTGCGTGTGTAATAAAGTAAAATGTTTTAAATTCCCGCTATTTTATTATATGGTTTGAGCGTCCATGTGGCACAACTCGTGAGCGGAAGACGGGTTACGGGTGTCACAGCTTGTGGTATCAGAGCAGTTCTTTCCACGGGAAGGAATTGCTTGAAACCTACGAAAACATTGTTTATGATTTAAAACGATTTTTAAAAGAAAGGTTTTTAAACGTGTTTATACATGATCCTGAAGTCACCAGAACTGAGACTTTCTCTCCCTTGTCTGCAGCGTACCGATGCCTCCGAGACGTGGTAGACCTGCCCGTTTGCCGGTGAGGGAAGAACCCCCTCCACCCGAGCATGCACCACCAGAGTTCCAGCAGCAGTTCTTTGATTCGATGTGGCGTCAGTACCAGATGAACATGCCACATCAGGCTGGGGCTAGACCAGAGGGTATTCCACCCCCACCTCCACCGGGACCACCAGGGTATCCAGCCCCTGTTGCGGTGGACTACCTGCCCTTGATATGGGAACTTCGGATGATAGGGACACCGAGGTTCGAGGGTACCTAGAGACCTGAGATCGAGGAGGATTGGCTGATCCGCATCTCCAGGGATCTGGATTATGTCAGATGTCCGCTGCTGTACCGGGCAGAGATCGCGAGCCACCATCTGTTTGGAGAAGCCCTTCATTGGTGGGAGGAAGTGGTTCGTGAGGCGATACCGGGATATCAGTTCACTTGGGAGGAATTTCGGGCACGTTTTGAAGACAAGTACTATCTGAAGGGAGACCAGGACCACCGCATTGTAGAGTTCCTCCATTTGAGCAGGGTGATCGCACTTTAACTGCGTATGAGGTTGAGTTCACCCGTTTGCTGCGATATGGGGCACATCTGGTGCCGACCGAGAGGCTGAAGATCCAGAAGTTCGTGACTGGATTACGCCCATATCTGCGGAGGAGGATTGAGATCCAGGAGTACCCTACGCTGAGTAGGTACATTGCGCAGCTGACGAAGCTGGAGAGGACAGAATATGAAGAGCAGCAAAAAGCGAGGAACCGAGAGAGGAGTCCTATGAGACGAGTTACATTCACTCGCCCCTCGAGTTCCAGACAGGTGATACAACCCCGTGATAAGGGGAAGGCGCCAGCGTTTCGTCCTGCAGCACCACCGCCACCAGCACTGCCAGGACCACGCAGATCTTGCCCACGCTGCGGGCGAGATCATGTTGGACCATGCCGTACCGGGTACACTTGTTACCGTTGTGGTCAACCTGGCCACTTCGCTAACCAGTGCACCGGAGATGTAGCTGCTTCTAGTCAGCAGGGAGCCAGACCTCCACGCCCTCAGCCACCACGTAGAGGGGGCGTAGCGCCACGGTATATGCACTTGCTGCAGAGGAAGAAGTCATGGGGGACGGGACTTACTTTGCTCAGGAGACAGTCACCATTGATGCTGTGGTCCAGGGTGATCCCGAGCAGTTAGACGATGCTACCATCACAGGTATCATATGTGACACCCGAAACCCGTGTCCCGCGAAAACCACGAGTTGCGCCACATGGACAACAATAAAATAAATACAATTATCGAAAATACGCGGGATTTAAAAATTCTCAATTTATATACATATGCAGCGGAGACAAATGCAAATACGGTAGTGTAACTATCGGAAAATACAAAACTCATAAATCGACACTACCAATCTTTTTGGAACAGCCAAGAAAGAAAAGTACATGATCCAGATATCTCCTTACACGTCACCAGTACCCTCGTCCTGCTGCTGCCAATACTGCTCCGTGCCTGAAACGTTGCATAACAACGTCCATAAGCTATGTGCTTAGTGAGTATTTCGGGTTAGACCCGAAGATCATACTCAAATTGCAAATGGCCAAACACAATCAATATTATACATACACTAGATATAAGTGTATACATATATACACACTTCATGCCAGGAAACACAATTCACTCAATCGCACAAGTAATTCACTTATCACACACACTCAGTCCGCATGATGTATCATCGGACATAACCGTCAAATCATCTCTATGTGCATCGCACACATAGGATACCGCAAGGATCTGGTCTCACCAGTCCAGGACATATGTACACGAGTCATAACTCGACCCATCGGGTCTCTCAGTAATAACCGTACCGTCAAATCATCTCCACGTGTGCATCACACACGTGGGTAAGGACGCTCCATGTGCAACGCACATCCCCCGCTCTCCTCGGCAATCGCCGGAATAATAAAACATATCAACTATGTGCCCCATTTCGTAAAACATATCACATCAATCATCCTCTCTGGTATTGATGTCACCTCTCGATGCCAGAGCGCCAGGTGCCTCCTTCAGGCCACCACCGACTATGTCGAGCGAAGTCAGTACACAACTGACAACCTCTCGCCGGCCGTCCGCCACGGAGAAACTCATTGGACCCGAGCTCAGGTCTTTCTGAGTTCCTTCGCATAACCTCGTCGGGAGAATCGCTCAATCCCGAGTCACGGGTAAATGTATTGCCAGTCTCTGCCGGGAGAATCACTCAATCCCGATCCCGTTCCATAGCTAGTGGAACGTTGGCGCGGTTACAGTGTAACCGTAGGATTTCCTCAACCCCGTGATAGCCGAATCACTCAAGACTATCACGTGTATCATCGGCTCCAAGCTCTGCCCGTGGGCAACCAATCACAATCATGTCTCCTCAATATGAAACCTGACCCGGGTCAGAGATCATAAAGAGGAGATCCCAACACTGCAACCATCGGGATATCACCTCAAACCCGCTACAATCACACGCTCAACCATATCCCGGCCCTCCGGAATAAGGTCTCACGCCATGCCAACTACCCGATTCCCCAATCACATGCATTCATATATTATTATACCTATTCGGGTATACACACGTTCTTACTTGTCATTTTGGTTGTCTCGTTTCCTTTACATTCATTTGATTCCTTTTATCCTCCGATTCGATCAAATTGGGTCCGACCATTCCGGATTACCAATTCAGCTCGTTCCGAAGGTTTTACTTACCGTAAGTCGGTTTCATTCAAGTTTCATAAGGTTCGGGTAGGGAACGGGTCAAGATTGATTGGGTACAGGGGTCGGTTGCGTCGGATCTCGCCCGAGCCGACGAAACGGACCGGAAGAAGGAAACAGGGGTCTGGACCGGACGGTCTGCAGGTTTCAGACCGGACGGTCTGGAAAATTGGACCGGACGGTCTGAGGTCGTCTTCTTTCTCGCGATCCTGCAACCCTAGAACGGACGGTCTCGACCTGGACCGGACGGTCTAGGCGAACCAGGGATTCCGAGTTTCGTATTTTCGCACCAAATTCAACATGCTATAGCTCAAAACAATCCTAGTAACATCAGGAACTCAAATCTAAGTTCAATTTCATGCAATTTGCACTCAATACACGCAAATCTCCATTTTCAATTTGATTATCATTTTCGGGCATAATCCGAAACACTCACTTAGCTCAAATTCGAGCTCGGGGTTTCGTTGGGGATGTTCTGTAGGGTTGATTGCTGTGGTTATTTGTTGATTTCGACCGAAATCGGGACTCCAATCGAAGGTTGAAGTTTCGGACTTTTGAGAGAGTTTGTGGGGGAGTGAGAGGGCGAAGTGAGAGGCGAAGAACGACGGAATGGGCGGACCTAGGGCAGTTCTCGCGTCCCAGAAGCAACCGACCCCTGTACCCAATCAATCTTGACCCGTTCCCTACCCGAACCTTATGAAACTTGAATGAAACCGACTTACGGTAAGTAAAACCTTCGGAACGAGCTGAATTGGTAATCCGGAATGGTCGGACCCAATTTGATCGAATCGGAGGATAAAAGGAATCAAATGAATGTAAAGGAAACGAGACAACCAAAATGACAAGTAAGAACGTGTGTATACCCGAATAGGTATAATAATATATGAATGC